GAAATTATATTCTTAGAGTATTTTTTAAAGAACGTGAGGCGATTTTTAATAAAAATTCCAATTTCAGTAATTGAACGTTTCAAAAATTTACTTGTCGAAAACAGAATTTATAAGAAATCAAACTGTTTCAGACGGAATTTTTTGAGATGTTTTAGGAGGTTTGGAGAATTTTTTGAGGTTTTTAAGTTTGGAGGCATTTTAAAAATTGTAATAAAAAAATGAATAAAATTTTAAACATTTAAATGATTTAAAAATAATATTAAAAGTTAAATTAATATATACTTATTTAATCTTAAATAATGTTAGTTGTATTTTTTACTTTTTTATTTAATTATTAGTTTTTATTTTAATTAATGTAGTTTATATTTTTTTATATTAAGTTTTTTTTTTTTTATTGGGGGAGTATAGTTTAATAGATAAATAGTTTAAATTAAATGTATTTTTACATTAAGAAAGGGTCGTAGTTTGAAATTAACAATAAGAAGTGTTGAAAATACGCTTACAGCATGAGACAGAAGCCGGAAGAGGGGAGATGGTGACAAGAAGAGGGAGGCGAGGGGGAGATGGCCAGGAGGAGGGAGCGGGGTGCCTGGAAACGGGAGCGCAGGGGGTTGAGAAGGAGCGGGGTTGGGATGAGGAGCCAGGGATTATTATTTTTTTTATTTAACACGGGTTAGATCGCTGTAAGAAGGACCAAAATTGGAGCGGAAAAAGCACTGGAATTATTTACATATGACGTTTTTATCGGAGGTATTTTAATGCCGGAAAAAAATAAAAAAGCGGACAAGGTTAATAAAGCGAAAAGGCTGATGGAAATGGTGATTTTTTGTGTGGAATCGAGGCAAAAAAGTTGGAAAAATTAAAATTAGTTGCGGAGAAACCATCTGAAACTACCTGATTACAATACATTTAAAGTGAAATGAGACATTTAAAATACGAAACTTAACAGAAAAAAAATAAAATCTCAATCGAAAAATAGGTAATAAAGGGATCTGAAGGGCCTGTTGAAGGATTTGAAAAAATTGGATTAAATAATAATTCAAAAATGACGTGTTATCTTGGAATTGAAGGTGTGAGATGAATCACCAAAAAGCAATGATGAATTACGATATTATAAGATCTAAAATGTCAGAAAAAACAGGTATATGATAAGGGTCAATCGGTAAGTCATAAGAAAACTAACATATTTAACTAGATTATATAATTATGGGTTTCATGTTTATAAATCCTATAAATAGGAATCATTTCTGAAGGGGACTAAGTGACTAAGAAGAAGAAGAGAAGAGAGGAAGATAAGGAGGAGTTATACGATTATCACACGAGGTTTGAGGACACGCAGAACTTGAGGTATCCATAGGACAAAATCGCGCAGGAAAAATAGATTGACGGTGCTAGTCGAAATTGAGGACTTCTGCATAAAAAATTGATAGTTGGATATATTCAGGAACAATAATTGAAGAATGAGACTATAAGGAACAATGCTGAATCGGTTGCTAAGCTATAAAAAATATAAGAGAGGACTTTATTCAGGAAAAAATTGAGGGCGATTATCGGAAAAAAGAATGATAAGGACTTTATCAGTACAACTGAATAAAGGAACTTCTATGAAACCGTATATAAACGATTACTGCTAGCAACTGAGACCATTGAAGTTTATTAGGGTAAACTGGATGGTACAAGAGTTAAAAATTAGATATATAAATGGTATTTACGGAATTATGTTTAGGACTACGATCACTTCAAGGAATCTGTCGATATAATGGTACTCCTGACTAACATAATAAAGTCTTCTGCATACGGTATAACTGAAAATACCGGTCTTTTAGACCACTGCATAAATACAGAATAGTTTTTGAATGATACTACTATGGTCACTTTAGACTGATCAAAGAAAGTTTAGACTAATTATAGACTATGGTAGTGCCAGAAAAAAATGTTATATTGTAGTAGCATGTATCGTCTTAGATATAAATTTTTCATAAATCCAGTCGAAGGTTTTCAGGCAGGGTCATGTTGTATAAGTGCATATAGGGATTCTTTCAAATTGGTAGGAAGTTAATTTTTTACTTTTTTAAGGGTTTCCACGTCAAAATAGTGTTTTATGAACGTAATAATATCTTTTATCTGATGTAGTTGGATCTTGTAACATGATAAGATTAAACTTCCATATTTCTTATCGACGAAAATTCAGGACAAAGTATGCATAATTACTGTTAAAATAAAATAAAAAGAAAGAATATTATAAATATATCACATAAGAAAAAAACAATAATTTTAATGAACTGACCATAATTTGTTGATTAATGAAGATTCTTAAACTTTTGTTTCTATTTTTCTTTTTTTTTTATTTCGAATTTAAAAATCGCGGGGAGCTGGCTGCACACCGCGGGAGCCGCGCGGGGGGAGCTGGCCGGAGCGCGGGTGGCTGCTGGAGCGCCGGGGGGTTGAGCCGCGGGAGCGGGGTTGGCTGCCGGAGGAGCGGGATTTATTTTTTTTTTATTTGACCGGCGGTTCAAGATCGCCTGTAAGCCACCGGACAAAATTGCCGCCGGAAAAAACCGCTGGAATTCATTTTCCTATGCCGTTTTTATCGGCGGTAATTTAATCGCCGGAAAACTACAAAACCGCCGGAAAAGGTTCAATTACCGCCGGAAATGGGTGATTTTCCTGTAGTGGAATCTCGAGGCAAAATCAAGTTGAAAAATTCAAAAATTAGTTCGGAGACCATCTGAACTCTGTTTCAATACATTTACAGTCGAACTGAGCATTTCAAAAATACGAACCCAACGACACCAAATTCAACTCAATCCGAGCCCAAATAGGTCCAAATCAAGGGTCTGGAGCGCTGTTGAAGGATTTGAACCACAATTCGGATTACCAATCAATTTCCAAACATGACGTGCTTATAATTGAATTGAGAGGCTCGATGAGATGAATCCAACAAGCCCAAGATCGCTGAATTCCGACATCACTAAGACCTTAAAATGTCCGACAAACGGTATATGATCAAGGGATGCAACATCGGCCGTCCATCCAACCACTCCCTATTTACCCTAGATCCCTCTCCTATTTATGGGTTATGTCATTCCTAAAATCTATAAATAGGCCCCTCATTCCTCTTGAAAGGGGACTCAAGCAAGAATAGAAGAAGAGAAGAGAAGGAAGATAAGGAAGGAGCTCCTCCTCGATTATCACCGGAGTTTTGCCGGACCACCACTTGAGGCCCTCACCTCCATCGGACCACCGCAGGACCAACGCCTGACGTCGTTGCTCCGTCGGACCACCACTTGAGGCCCTCATCTCTGCCATACCACCACCTGACATCGTTGCTCTGTCGGAACACTACTTGAAGCCCTGAGCTCTACCGGACCACTGCCTGACATCGTTGCTCCGCTAAACCACCACTTAAGGCCCCGGACTTCCGTCGGACCACCACATGAGGCCCGAATTTCCTCCGGACCACCACCTGACTCCCGGACTTCTATCGTACCACCACCTATATAAGACCCGGACTTCTGCTAGACCACCACCTGAGACTTGAAGTTCTATTAGGCTACCACCTGATGCTCAGAGTTTTACCAAAGTACCGCCCTACTATAATGGTCTTTCGGACCTCTGTCTCCTACCGACTACGATCCTTCCGACATCTGTCGCCTACTATGGTCCTTCTGACCTCCATAAATAAATAACGGTCTTTCTGACATCGGTCTCCTGCCAACTACGGTCTTTTAGACCCCTGTCTCCTACCGACTACGGTCCTTTCGACCTGCATCACCTACTATGGTCCTTCCGACCTCGATCACCAGACAACGGTCCTCCCGACCTCCATCCTATCGACTATGGTCGTGCCGACCAAACAAACATGTATATATTGTAGCTCCCGCCATGTAATACGCTCTATATGATATACATTTTTATCATCAAGTCGAGGCCTTTTCCCAAGGAAGGGCCTCATTTGTAATCAAGTGCAAATACTAGTGGATTCTTTCAAATTGGGCTAGGCCCCGTAATTTTTCCCCCTTTTTAAGGATTTCCACGTAAAAACTATAGTGTCTCTTATGAACGCTACACTCTATCTTTTATCTGATTGTATGTTGGATCTTCGTACAATGCTAAGACGTTAAACTTCATATTTCTCTATCGCCGCAAATACTCCAGGACACAACAAGTATGAAATTACTGTTAACATAAAATAAAAAAAGAAGAATATTATACTATTATTCATAAGAAAAAAAACAATATTTTAATGCACTGACTCCCTTTGTTGATTCCTGCAAGTATTATTAAACTTTTTGTCTTCTATTTTTCTTTTGTTTTTTTAATTTCGACATTTTAAAAATTTTGGTGCTAATAAATTAAAATTTTATTTAAAAGATTGACCACAATATCTTGTTATAACTTATAACTTATTAGAACTAAAACTTATTATATTTATTTTGAGATGAATAGAATATTAAATTTAAAATAAATGTAATAATTTTATGACTAGTCTTAATTAAAGTTATATTAAAATATTCTGAGTTTTTTTTTTGGTCAAAATTATTAAATTCAGATAACATATCTAATTCTACACAGCAAACCATTTTTGTTTCCTATAAATAAAAAAAATAAAAAATAATAACGGGCGCATACCTGCAATAATATCAGCTCCCCCGCTGATAAACTTGGAAACACTATGCAACACAACATCAGCTCCAAGCCGCGCCGGCGATACAACCATAGGCGCAAACGTATTATCCACCACCAGCATCACACCCTTCTCCCTCGCCACCGCACTCAACCCCGCTATATCCGCCACTTCCAACGTCGGGTTCGACATCGTCTCCACATATATCACCCGCGTCTCCCCGTCCCGCACCGCCCCTCCTACCGCCTCCAAATCCCTCGCATCCACAAACGTCGTCTTCACGGCCGCCGTACGAGGCAGGAATTTTGACAGCAGCGCGTAGGTCCCACCATAAAGGCACCGCGAAGCGACGATGTGGGATCCGGCAGGACAAAGCTGGAGCAAAGCACAGAAGACGGCGGACATGCCGGAGGCTGTGCAGTAGGCGGCTTCGGTGCCCTCCATGGCGGCGATCTGGCGGCTCAGGTTGAGGACGGTGGGGTTGAAGTGGCGGCTGTAGAGGTAGAAGTCGCGGTCGGGGCCGAGCTCGCCGGTGAATATTTTGCGAAGCGTGTCGGGATCCATGACGGTGAAAGTTGCGGAAGCTTCGATGGACATGTTGACGCCGCCGTGCTCGCCGAACTCGTGTCGTGAGCTGGCTAGTGATTCGGCGGGCTCAGCTGCCGCAGGTGGTGCGCTGCGTTCTTGATTCGTGTGCTCATTAGCATATGGGTTGTTCAGGACGGCTAAGTTGGCGACTGCGTTGATGATGCTCTGAGATTCAACTGACTCGGACATCTTTCTTCTAACCGATTAAACCTGGCAGACCTCTCTCTCTCTCTCTCGCTTTCTCTCTGAGATATCAAGATATAAACTTCTTCATGTGCTTCTACTGAAAGTTGATGTTTATGTAGGTTTGGAAAAGCGCCTGTATTTTTGTTAGGGAAAGCACGAAGTCACAGGAACAGGTGGGCAAATTTTAAATTAATTAGACAATAAGAATAAGAATAATAATAATAAAACAAATAAAATAATATAATAATGATATAATAATAATAATAACAACATCAAATAGTAATATTTATAAAATAAAATTTTAAAAAATTTAATCAGCATAATGCTATCGAATCTCCAAGAGGAAATTTTTATCATTTATTTGCAAAGATGAAATGTCGAATGGATGGACAAACAATACAAGATATGAGTCATATTATGACAAAAATTATTTTTAAGAGGGGTAGAAATTCCAAAATTATCCCTCTTATGCATTAAATTTTTTTTAGGGAAATGCCCACCCTCACATGAGTGGGGATCCGCTCATGAAATGTGATGACATAATGATCTACCACATATACAGAATATTAAAATTTTCATTATTATATAATTATTTATAGGGAAATTTTGTTTTATAACACTTGAAAAATATATTAACATGAGATTTAGGCTTCGTTTGGGACAGCTTTTAGGTAACTATTTTTATTGCTTTTAAAATTTTTTTGTACTGAAAATCTGCTTTACAATGAATTAAAAAGGTCGTCCCAAACAAAGTTTTGCAGTTCTTGAATTTACTTAAAGATTAATTTCATATGTAATACTTTAAATTATATTAATCTTAGTGCAAATCTTTTACAACAACAGTAACATCAAGCCTTTATCTCATTATATGGGTTCATCTAAATGAATCATTTTCCTATATCGTGCCATGTTAAAAAAAAAAATTCTCATTTAAATCTAATAAAGAAATATTATTTTTAATATTTTCCATAGGTTTGCCTCTAGGGGTGTCAAAACGGATCGATGGATTTGGTTCGGGTCGAACCCGACTTGACCCGAGTCTAAACGGTTCAACACGAACCCGACCCGATTTTACAAATGGGTCGATATTTCTAACCCGAATCTGACCCGCGCAGGTTGTCGGGTTGACCCGACCGACGACCCGTTTGCAAAATGCCAATCCGAAGCCGGGAAGGAGACAACTGGGCGAGACCATGCAACTAACCGATTGCAGTGTGCGGGCGAGGGCCGCTACTTGCGAGGCCAGCGGCGTCCGGGGTGGGGGCGAGACTCGAGGCGAGGGTCGTGATCTTGCGAACCTGAGTTGCGAGGCGTGCCGCCTGAGTCGTGAACGATCTTGCGAACCCGAGTCGCGAGGCCTGCTGCATGCGGCCTGCATGATCTTGCACGTTCGGGGCGAGGCTAGAGCGTCTAGCGCGAGGTAGGGCCGGAAATCGGAAACGCGGCTAGGCGAGGCCAGCGACGTCCGTGCGAGGCTAGCGCAGGATTCGGGTTAAACGGGTTGACCCGCATGTTGTCGGGTCAATCCGAAACCGACCCGTTTTTCAAACGGGTCATTAATTCAAACCCTGATCCGCCCATTTCACAAACGGGTTGACTCGAACCCGGATTTTTAGTGTCGGATTCTTGAGTCGTGTCAAAAATTGACACCCCTATCTACCTCTAAATCTCTTCTGATTTTGAAATTCATCTTTACATATTTTGCATACACAATTTTTTTCATATTAATTTATTTCAATAAATAAGGATAGAATCTGGTCCTCCTTTAACCATAAAAAGCTGAAGCCATCCAAACAGATCCAAAAGCATATTCATGGGTGTGGGAATGGCGACATCTTCATGTCGTCTACCACGACATTCAAGCCGCATGCCTCCTTGCCAGTTGGTATTGACCTTCGCGTCATTGGCTTTTTCTTCAATGGTCGCCAACCCATATTTCATGATAATGGATATGGAGATGAGCCTGCTATGCACTTTTGGAAAATGTCCTCGTCGTCTGTCTGCTCGAAAATGGTGGAGAGGGGGTGGCCACCGATGGGCCGGCGATGGTGACTGCACACCGTATTCGACAGTCGTTAATAAAGCCACAATTCAAATCAACTTGCATGAAAGAGTTACTTACCAAATGAGTGAAAGTCTATCCGACAACAATATTGAATTTGTCAATTAAAACGTCAAGCCTACTCGATCTCCTAAGTATAATTTATTTATCTAATACATAAAAGCTAATTTTTAGCTAAAATTGAAGTAACCGGATCAAGCAGGAGTAATCCAACATCACAGATGATTAGTGAATAGGAGTTTTCTGGGAGCCGCACAGATAATGAGAAAACATAGGGATCCAATTTGCCAGCAAAGGTGGCGATGGGTCCTCATGGTTGTATCCAAGTATTTGTCAGAGAAACTCAAGGTCATAGACTCGTAATAGCTCACCAACTGGACATATATATAAAGATCATCGATCTAGCTAGATAAGCTGCATGAAAATAAAGGCATTTCATCACTTGTACACATCATATGGATGCTCATAGTGAGCTTGCCAGACGCCGGTCTTCTTCACGGAAAATTATTAGGTGCGGAGATCGGATGTAGAGGTACGTTCGAATTCCAATAAAATATTTACATGTGGAGTAGACACGTTGGATTTGTTTTTTACTTTATATATTTAATGGGTCTGTAGAACTTTAAGCCAAGCACATCAAAAGCACAGGTAAAGCGCATGTAAAGCACAGTCAAAGTAGCAGTAAAAAAATGCAACAAAAGAGCACTCAAAATGCAATCAAGGTGCACTGCATGTGTTAAATTTTAAGTGGATGTCCGAACATACCTCTACATCCGATCTCCGCATCTAATAATTTTCCCTTCTTCAGCCCTTGCATTAAAATAATCCAATGCCTCGCCTCAGTGCATACGAAAGGTATACCGTATATACTGTCTCTGATAGTGCTTATGCATGTCACAATAATGCTGTGTTCTCCTTTAAATTATGTGCCCACTCATGCATTTCACTTTTAAATGGTGGAGGCAGCCATGGATAAATGTCCCTTTCCATTTACACGCCTGCCCCTGCGCACTAGGGAAAAGACACGAAGTGGTGTATTCTCGCATCACTAGAGGAATCATATACAAATTCTTTTTTTCTTCTTTCTCTTAAGGGATGGGCATACAAAATATAACTTTCTTAATTATAAGAAAGGCATTCAAGTTCGGATTATTCAATTCTGGAGACTGATTGTCCACAATTAATGCTTGTACTCTTTTGTCCGGTTTACTTTATAATTTGGATGCCAATTAGTTTAAGAGGAATTTATATAAATAATAGCTGATCCTTTCATATTTATGCTTATAATACTTTTTTTTTAGCCACACAGCACACTTCTTTTCAACTGATCACATAATTAGAAAGCGGAAAATAACAAAAATCACATAACCAAATACAATAAACACAATGCGAGTTACGTGGTTCGGCAAAAAACTGCTTATGTCCACATCCCACATGTAAGGGATGATTTCACTATTGTGGAAAAACAATGTTACAATTAACTCTCTTGTACTACCTTACAACAGCCCTCAACATCTATATATAGATTTGAAACAAAAAAACAAGTAAGGAAAACCAATATAATAATTGGACCTCCTAATTAAAGCTTTCCTAATCAAAGCATTAATCAAATCTACTAATTTTATGCAGTAATCAACCAATAAAGTATGTCCTAATCAGTGCTGAATTTGATATGGAAAGATTTTCTTAACATTAAAATCACTCCATTTAGCTAATGTTTACTTAAACAATGTTCTTATTTGCTAAAAGTTTGTGTTTAATTTGGTAAAGAAGTTCATATTCGATTATTTCATTGTTTAGATCATAAATAAAGAAATCTTTTAAGCTTGATTTTTTAAAAGTGTCAAATAAGATCAATTCTTTCTTTGATCGTATTTATTTTTTCTTGATTTCATATTGTTGCGTTTTGAAATATTTGCGACGGTAGGTAATTATAAAGTTCATTGTTTTAACTCTATATAAAGATCCAACACACAAATAGATAAAACAGATGGGTGTAGCATTCATAAGAGACACTAAAGTTTTTACATGAAAACCTCTAAAAAGGGGGGAAAACTACGAGGCTTTGCCCAGTTTGAATTAATCCACTAGTGTTTGCAGTTGATTATAAATGAAGCCCTTCCTTAGGGGGAAGGCTTTGGTTTGATGTAACAAATATATCATATAGAGTGTATTGCATGGTGGAAATAGGAAGAATCAGTATTGACATATTTATTTGGTCGACAAGATCATAGTTGGTGGATGATGTAGGTCAGAAAGACTAGAGTCTTGTGAAGGTGGTCAGAATGATCGTAGTTGGCAGAAAACGAAGGTTAGAAAGACTATAATTGAGTGAAGGTGGTAGGAAGGATTGTAGTTTGCGGGCGATGGAGGTCGAAAAGACCGTAGTCCTTGATGGTGGTCAAAAGGATTGTAGCCAGTAAGAAAAGGAGGTCATAAAGAATATTGTATGGCGACAAAGGTTAGAAGGACAGTAGTCAGCAAGCGACTGAGGTCAGGAAGATCGTAATCTGGCGACAGAGGTCGGAAGGATCGTAGTCGGCGGACGATGGAGGTCGGAAAGATCGTAGTCTTGTGGTGGAGATCGGAAGGTATGTAGTCAGTGGGCGACAGATGTCAGAAATACCCATAGTTTAACAACGGAGGTCGGAAGGATAATAGTCAGTTGACGTCGGTAGTTAGAAAGATCATAGTTTGGCGATAGGGGTCGGAAGGACCGTAGTCAACAATGTTGGTCGGAGAGACCATAGTTGGTGACAATCAATAATTGGGAGGGAGTCCCGTAAAGTCTGGCGAAGCTCATTGGTTGGCCGGGCATAAGTTCGACGACAATTGGTGGTCGAGCGGAAGTCCGATGACACTCGGTGGTTGGGAGGAAGTTCAACGAAAGTTCTATGGCAGTCGGTGGATGGGCGTAAGTCCGTTGACAGTTGATGGCTGGATGAAAGTCCAATGATAGTCGGTGGTCAAGAGAAAGTCTAGCAATTGTCGGTGGCCGAGCGGTGGTC